CCCCGCTCCCATCAAGGTCTGACTGTGGACACGCAGGTGAGTGACTCTATGTGGCATGAGCTGCCCAGGAATTCGCAGGTGAGTGTGGCATGAGCTGCCCAGGGATGCTTATGTGAGCAGGGCACACCACTGAGGGTAAAAGGGCCAGAGGGGCTGTCCCTGTGGGAGAGAAGTGCCCACAGGCCTGGCAGAGCCAGGCTCGCCTGTGCAGCATTCCTGGGTGGGTGTCACTGTGGTTTGGTAGTGGTGTGAGTGAAGCTCGTGTTGTGTTTGTCTTCCTAAACTTAGTTGTTTTATTGTTTGCCTCCGTGCAAGGAAGAAATTGCACTGTAAGCTAGAACTTGCAAAGCACTTGTAAGTTATCCGTGCCTGACAGCACTGGAAGCGTGTGCTGAGGTTGTAACTTACAGACTGCCTGGTTTCTGATGAACAGTGTGAATTGTGAGGTACTAAAAAAGGCAAACTGGCCCATGAAGTGGCTCACAGTTACATTTAAGAAACATCTAATGGTTGGAGGGAGAAAAGTCAACAAGACGAAACCAAAACTCTTCCAGGAACAAAACGGGCTACACTAAAACGAATTAATTGAAACTAGGGATCTGCCAAAAAAAGCGAGGCATCCATGGGAATAGAGATACCACTGCCTGCACTGCTAGAATTGTTACTAGTTTGGCTTGATGAATTGCTTTCAGCTGTGTTACATGTGATAAGAATTCAGGTGTGTTACTTGTCCAGGCCTGGGTACAGACTTTGCACTCGGAGTTGTAGCTATGTCAGAGAGAGAGAACATTGCTGAAAAGCTCTCTGCACTCTGCTATAGTTCTGTGCTAGGATGGGCTGCAACTGAGAGAAAACATTTAAAATTTGTTAATATCCCAGCAGTCAGGAGAGGCTTTTTAAAAAACACAATTCCCTTTATGTTTGCACTTTCATCTTTGCTTAGGAGATTGAGCTACTCTTTGTGGTCATTGTGGCTTTTAAGGCTTGAGGCCAATACTTTGTATTGTGAGCAGCAAAATTTATCGTGCACTGAATTTCCAGAAAGAAATATTCCCCTCCCTTCCAACTCATATTTCTAATGTCTCTTTTACCTGAACTTGTGCAGCTCCTGGGAGGTGATTGTGTAATCTGTGGAAGAGGTAGAGAAGCAGTTGAACTCTTAAGGGTTGCACCTGTAACTTTTTGTAGTCCAGTGTCAGGATGATAACCTTGTAACTGCTGTGATCTCCAAGAGGTTATACTGTGTGGGAAAACAGGTGTGATACAGGCAAAATGCCTCTTTTCATGGATTCTCTTCAAACTTGCATGCAGAACTTGGTTGTGGGTGTTGGTACAGTTTGAAATCAGAGATGGAAAGACTGTTGCAGGGAGTGTGGTATTACCCATTGCTTTGAGCTTTGCCTCAAAAAATGCTGTAATTTTCTGGAACAGAGGATCTGTTGCTATTTGGATATGGTTAGCCTTGAGGCCCTGCTACAAGTAGTCATTCCTGTCAGGAAAAGCTTTGCATGTAGACATAACATTTCTCCTGAAGAAATGAAGTCTAATTTACTCACTTTGCCTTTGTTGGTGTTGAGAATTTTTAAAGTACTTTCTTGGTTACAACTCAAACTAGAGAAATCTTAGCAATACTCATCTCCCATTGCACCAGAGAATCTTAAAACCCTTTAGTTCTCCCAAAGGCTTTGTGTGTGGGAGATCCCTGACACATGGAGTTGTATCAGACTTTGGAATGAAACAGCACAGCTAATCAGTTCAGGGGCCCCTTACGTAACTGAGCCCTGATGTGTATTGTGTAATTAAGGGAAAGGTGGTGAAATTTCATGTTTATGAAGATACTTCATAGCCGTTTTACTACAGCAATGTACAAAGACTGAAACATTGATGCCAGATCTAGCCTGTGGCTTTAGCAATAGCAAGAATGTACGTCAAGGTGAACAGCAGCAGGACTTGATCCATTTTGTATTAGTTTTTGAAAGAGTTCTGCTTTTCTGTTTGGGTTTTTTTTTGGTACCTTACAATTCGTAAGTTACTACAGCCTTGGCTGATGAGTAGAATGGATGTGTGTCTTTCAGAGGAGACAGTCCCCACTATTGCCACCCTGTCCCACACCTGTAGGGCAGTGTCAGTACCACACCAGAAAGTTCTAGCAACATTTCCTCAATGCTTCTAATGCTTCAGCAATACCAAACCTGACCACAGTTTTGGACTCTGCTGCCATGAGATGGTAATAACTGTGAACTTGTTTTTCCTGCTGCTTGAGTTGCCGTTTCGTTGGACATCTCTATACGTACTTTGCTTCTGGGTGCCCCTGCAGAAATGAAGAGCTGGGCTTCATGCTGCTATCAGGCCATGCAGGGTGATTGCTCCAGAGAATCAGGAATAGTGAGATTAATGATTTACTTTCTTTATAGAATGAATGTTCTGTTCATGCACACAAAACCAGAGATGCTTGAAGCAATTGCAACTCAAGCCACCAGGCCCATCAGAGAGCAAACTTCACTTTGATATCACAGTTGCTCTGTACTGCTCCAGTGTTTCTTGCTGGTGCTAGGCCTGTGCACGATAGTTTGAAGGTGCTGGTGGAAATAGGTTGAAGACACGTAAATGAAAGTGTTTCTCATTTCAACAGTGGCCGAATTGCGGCTGTGCCTCTCAGCGCAGCTGTGGATGGATTCAAGTCACATCTGGTCTTCAAAGAGATTGAAAAGAAGCTCCAGGAGGTATTTATTTGACTACTTTTACCTACAACGGGGGTTTAATTGCCAACAGAATGTGTGCAGAACCTGATGGGAGCATAGTAGCGTCAATCGCTTCCTCAGTGCTGCTTATTGCAGCAAGTGTCACAGATTTGGGTTCTGCTGTGCCACAAAATTTCTCTACACTGTGCCAGGATTTTAAATTACATTTTTGCAGATAATTCCTACCTACATAAGGGTGTTTGAAGCTCCTGTTCCATGAGGAGCTCGCTAACTAACACAAGAAACTGTGCTTGCCATTAGGTTCTCGCTTTGGAAACGTGATTAGAAGAAGAAATCACATTCTGTCAGACTTAATCAGGACAAGACTGTTAGGACAGTGGTAATTTTTCTTAGTTTAATGAATTTTAATATAGGTAGTCATAGTGAGTTTTTCCTTGATAAGGTTTTTTTGATGGTTGTTTAAGTGATGCCTAATGGGGGAAAAAGATATTTTTCTATCAGTAGAAATGGTAAAGGTTTTTAAATTACTTTATGGTGAATTCAAACTATTTGAAAGTAAATGAGTAACTTACACATTATCTGGTTGTTACAGGAAGGAGAGCAATTTGTGAAGAAAATTGGTGGAATCTTTGCCTTCAAAATAAAAGATGGTCCTGGTGGGAAAGAAGCAACTTGGGTCGTAGATGTGAAAAATGGTAAAGGCTCAGTGGCAGTTAATTCAGGTCAGTGCTCTTGTGTTATGTCATTGCAGAAAATACAACTAATGGATATAAACTCATAATCTGCTTAAGCTGCAGTGACCTTTAGCAAAAATGATGTAGAGTTGCCTTAATTTTAAACTTTTCTTGTTGCTGACACTTTCAATCCATGATGTTTTAGATCAGGAACTGAATGTCTTCTACTCTGAATCTGTCTAGAGATAATTGCATGTTTTCTTAGAGGCTCCAGGCAGATCTCTCATATAACTTCATAGCAATCAGAATGAAAAAAAAAAAGTAAAAATGATACATCTGGGATTTTGTTGCTCTCACCTCTCAAAATTTGGGCCAGAAATGTAATTTGTAGCTGTTTCTTCAGTTTCTTTGCTGGAGACACTGGTAGGTGGTAAGCTGGTCTGTCGGGTCAAGTTACTTCTCTGCAGCTAGTTAAGCAATAAAACTTGACTATTCAATGCTGTACCAGCTAGACATAAACTTTTGAGTTCCATTTTAAAAAAGGCAGAAATAAGTAAGACACAGACTGGATGGTGGTGGTGAACCCCATAAAAGTGTTGGAGACACAAACTTTGTACCCTTGCCATGAAGATGTCTTGTCTCATACCGTAAGTCACGCACCCTAGTAATGAAAATAAAAACCAAAGGCAAGAGTCTGTCCTCAGCGTTCCATATATCCATGAACCTGCCCCATAAAGCTTTTTATTAAAAGCACAACTGGGGATTTGATTTGGAATTCTTTTTTTCTGTTGCATGGACAACAATTTATCAAAGATTTCAGTTTAATAATAGGATGAGTGTAGGAAAAGATGTGTGCAGGTCTCAGCCCTTTGGTATATACATCAGTGTTTATATTGGAGCTTATTAAAATAATTTTCCAGCTCATTTCTAGTAAGATCCTAAAAGCTTGTGCATTTGAATTAATCAGATGAATGCTTTCAGAATGCACATGTTGTTCCCACTGAAGGAGAGGGCCGGAAATGCTGAAATTTCAGTAATGAGTATCTTCAGAGAGTTTCACAGGGGAAAGCCCATCTCTTCTGAGTTGATCTTAATACCAGCAAATTTAAGCTTGGTAAAACTGAAAGGTGATTGGCAATGCTTACAATTAGCATTCTGTCCGATTGCAGGTAGATTGTTATTTCTGTTCAAGGGATAAATTTGCTTTTAGAAAGGTTCATCTTTCTTCAGTGTTGGTGGTCTGTGCCTGTTGCCTGCTGGGTGGTCTCTTGGAGGTGTTTTTGTAATGGCTCTTACTTGTATGTACTTCAGGGACCATTTTGGTAACCTCTAGTATCAACAAATTCTTCATGGAGTTGCAGCTTCTATTACTGTTTTGTTTCTCAGTTTGAATCTTCACAGTCAACTCTTCCCTTGCAGATAAGAAGGCAGACTGTACAATTACAATGGCTGACACTGATCTGTTAGCACTCATGACTGGCAAGATGAATCCTCAGACAGTAAGTACAGCAAAGAGGAGATGAGAGCATTGACTTCTTTGTTTTGAATGTGTCTAAGTTGAAATAATTTAAATAAATCCCCTCTGCAACTGCCATGGCTGATCTGAAAAATGGCAGTTCTTGATGTTCTCTGAGCAAATTGGCCAAAGTAAGATTGATCAAGGAAAACTACTCTTCTTAACAGGTACATGTTATCTCAGTCATCCTGCAGGTAACCTAGTAGGGGATATAACAGTGCTTGGTTTGCAGAGCAGAGGGGGAGTCAGTGTTTGCAGTGTGCCTTAAGAAGGAAGGAACGTGGGCCCTCTGTTTGAAGGGCTTTACACTCATAGCTGGCATTAGTGCAAGGAGTAATCCTGATGCTGGAAAACAGAAATTGAGGTGAGCACCCACTGAATGCCTGTGCTTGGTTTTTGTTTGGTTGGGGTTTTCCTCTGTGTGCCAAATGCAGTCACAGTGTATGAGTAAACCAGATGTCTAAGTTGAGTTCAAGTTGCTGTGCTGTACTTCTAAATTTGAAATGCTCTGGGTAACATTCTTTCAAGATTTTGGTCTGGTAATCACAGGGGAAATAAGAATTTCTGCAAACAAGTGTATGTAGGAGAAGTTTGAAGGTAAAGCACTATAGAGATGCTATAATATACGTGTAGAAAATTCAGAAGTAATTGCAATTTTACATCCACAGTTTGGATATTTTGGTCCATGCAGTTCATCTTCTTACAAGATCTAGAGGAAAAAAAACCCCAAATCTTCTTCCCCAAAACTCCCAGGAAGGGGTGGAGTCACCATCCCTGGAAGTGTTGTAAGAGGTGTCTGGATCTGACGCTGGAAGGATATGGTTTAGAGTCTGGGGGTGACAGAGGAGTAACAAGTTAACAGTTGGACTTGATGATGTTAAAAGTCTCTTCCAGCCATGATGACTCTGAGTGTTTGCTTCACAAACTAGCTTTGTAAAATTGAATCGATCAGTAACAAAATCAGCAACAGGCGAGGAGGAGTTAAGAATCAGCTGTAGCATCTACTGTACACTGTGGCTTTATTGTCTGTAACAGAAATAGTCAGCTTCTCTCCTAGGAACAGTCACCACCAAAACGTGGGGTGTTCTGCCCTGCTCTGTGTGCAGGTCCATGTTGTGACAATCCAAGACACAACAACACCAAGTCTATATTCTCTTCAGGTATCACAATTATAATAAGCAAACAGCTTCCTTCAGTTTGCTGTTCTACTTCTTGTGTCAGAAAAGTTGCTGGATGTGAGGTGTCTGCTAGAACTGTTGGAATTAGCAAACTGCACATCCATGACAGCCCATAACTGTCTGGAGGGATGTGTTTGGGTACTGTGTTGTATGGCATTTCATGGAATCTTTCATTCTTTCTTTTCAGGCATTCTTTCAAGGCAAATTGAAGATTTCTGGGAACATGGGCATGGCAATGAAGCTTCAGAATCTACAGCTTCAGCCAGGCAAAGCTAAACTTTGAGCTTATTAGAGTAAATAGTCATATATTCTGGACAAAAAAAGGTAGAATGAAACTAGATGTTATCAATAATATGGCACAGGCTGGGTTAGCTTGGGCCTCTCTCACTAAATTCTGTGGTTAGAGACCTTAATTCTCTGAAATTCCATCCGTTTCTCTCTGGCTAAGCTTGAGGCACTAACTCCTACGAATGATACGAGCTGGGGTTTTGTGACAGTTTTTGTTCTAATGAATGTGGGAAATTTTGTTAACTGTAGAGTCGAATGAGGCTACTTACTGTCATTCAGCTTGGCTGGGGGGGAAGTGAGCAAAGTTATGAGTGGTTTGACATATCAGTTAAGTGAGTTGTGTTTTTAAAAGCTGTAATAGCAGGTCATACAATGCTTTCAGACTTCCATTCTAACAAACTTGCTGCTGCTTAAATTCAAATGGTCTTGCAAAGGGGGATCTCTAACAACATTTTTTAGAATATGTTTTAGGAATTTGCTATAAAATACCTTTCTTATTACTACTTTGGGATTAAAAAAAAATAAAAATATGCAGAAGTAAGCAGGAGCTGGAATGTTGCTTTGAGATTCACAGGGTTTGATAATGCTTCATCTTGAGAACAGCTTAGGTTTGCCAGGAGAGCAGAGAGGGAGTTATAACTGTGTTTTCTCTTGTTGATTATGATGAAATTCTTGTCAGTAATGTAAAGGCTTTAAGTTTGTTTTGGGAAAATGTATTCTGGTTGGAAGTTTAATAGAAAATTAAATATACTTTTCCTGTTCTTCTGTGTGTTTCTTGCTCAGATTTTTAAACACAGACTTCATGTTAATGTACAGAACTGTTTTCTTCAGGTCACACCTGCAATTCATCCATTTTTTCCTCCTCAGGCATTGTCAGTAAATAGTCCATAAACTACATGTCAGCCCAGTGGCTACACCTCACATCCTCACATCCGTGGGCTGTGATTGAGGAACTTAAGCATAAACTTTCAGTTCCCTGTTTAACTAAAATCATCATAAAAATGAGCTAATCCAAGCCAGTCGTTCTGCTTCTCTACTGTGAGTGGTAACAGATTGCTGAGCAGTAAGAATGGCTGTACTGAATGGAACCAGAAATCAATCTAGCCCACTAGATTTTTGGACTGTTGATACCTTGGAAGGAATATCAAGACGGCCCAAACAGCTCTTTACTCAGAATATTTTCCTGCCTGGCCATGATAGTAATTTTTTCTCTCCCAGATCACGAGGGTGAGCTAGAAGTGGTGTGTCTGGATTGTCTTTCATGGGTTTGCCCAGTCCATTTTGGAATTGTTGAACAGCTTTTTTTAGCATGAGGCACAGAGTTTCTTTACCTACACATCATGTGGAATTAAACTTACTCCTTTTTATCCTTGCTTTTTTACTGGAAGAAACCATGAACAGCTTCAGAGCACTCCTGATGTTTGGAGTCTTGCTCTGTCACCTTCAGGCTTCACAGCTTAAAGAGGTTATTCTATTTAACTGTGTCACCTCGTAACCTTTTGGCTGCCCAGGTCCTTTCCTGTATGCTGCATTCCTGTTGTCCTGTTAAAAAGTTTTCAAGATACAAAAACATCACTTAAATTATCCTGAACTTCAACTGTATTTTACTGTCCAGGCACTTGGTGTTCAGCCCTGGTCTTTGATATCTGGATGAATCAACTTTTGTCGCCCCAATGTTCATACTCTTTTCCAAGGCATTAGTTTTCTGTTAAATAGGACATACAAGGCCTTGCTCCACTGTAAACTCCTTAAATACAATCTGGTCATAAGAATCAGGTTTTCTCTTGTGTACTTGTTTACTGACTTATCCAAAGGATTGGAGTAGATCAGTGTCATATCTCAAAGGAGAGCAGTGTTAGCTCTCTATAAAATAACATTTGTCAGTGTTCCCCCTGCTCTTTCCTAAGTTCTTGACATTTGGCTTGTGGGTTAAAACAAAGAGGGATTACAGGATTGCAGCAATAATTCTGTACTGGAAACAATTTGTTCCTCCTTTTGGATCACTGATACCAATGAGCTTTGAGTAGATGTCTCTTATGTAGGCTAAGAACAGGCTTTTTTTGAGCACAGGCCCAACATATTTTGGGGCACTGTTTAATTAAAGATGCAAACGAGCTTTGAAGTATAAACAAAGCTGACATAGATAATAGTAGTCCATACCAATAATAGTTGAAGAGCTGCTCAACTGCAGAGTGAGATTGAGTTTTTTAAGGGGAAAATGCAGCACAGAAATAGTAAAAAAAAAAAGTGCAACAATAATTTTGGAGTTTGTTTTCCACCAAGAGAAATGATACCCATGCCTGAGACCTTGTCCTGCAGAGAAATCTCTAGGTTTGTGGTGGCCCAGGGCTCTCAGGCTTGGGCACTTGCAGGTATGACTATAACAGAAAAATCCCAGATTCCATGTTCAGTTCCCCTCAGGAGTGGCTAGAGGGAGTAGTACAGACGCCAGCACAGCCTGCAGCTGAGAGAACTAGTCAGTCTGCTGTCCCTCCTGCCGCAGTATTTAAGAGGGGGTAAAGGACAAAGTCATGTATTTACCCCATCTACCAGCTAGTGTCTTACTGAGACATCGACCCTGTATTACTTCTTTGCTTTCAGCGTCTTCGATGTGTTATAACTTGTGCAGTACTTTTTAAATGTATTTTTTCTGGGAGTGAGGGAGGTGTGTGTGGTCTTTTTGAAAAATCCCAGATCCTCCACTTACATTCTGCAGTCTTAAAATATGATAACTTTGAATAAATCAATTTCACAGTGAATAGAAAGAATTTATGCTGTTCATCATGAGGAAATAGGCAAAGCTCTGTGGTACAGAGCAGTTTTTGACATTATTAACTTCTCTTGCTCTTTTTTTTTTTTGCATCACTTGAAGCATTACCTAAGTTTATATCATTTTAGAAATCTTGTTACAAAGGATTTCTGTCTCATTCCCTAATGCTCTGTTGACGAAGCAGCACTGAGCCCTTCTCCAGCTGAAATCCTCTGGAGCTTTAGATCAGCCTTTCTTATGAAGTCTGTGTGTTCCTGCAGTTCTGTTACGTTAACTGGATTCCTTGGGGGCAGAATTAGAAAGGAAGCTGGAGCTACCAGGAGGTGGTCAGTCACTGAACATAGCAGAGTTCTGATCTTTGGTTTCAAAGGCCCTGTGTAAAGTTAGAAAGTAAAAGGTAATCCTCCAAGCAGAGGGCTAGATGTTCTCAGACTCCCTGTTCACAGAAGGGGAAATCTCAGCTTTAGACATTAAAATGCTTGGGAGAGTTGTTCTTCCTTCATGGACTCTGGTAAATAACCTTTGCAGCAATTGGTTTGGGATTTTTCCCAGCTATGATAAATGTGTGAGTCATATGACAGCCAGAGGTGCTGTGAGGTTGGCAGGTGCATCTTACTTTTTCTTTCTTTTGTAAAATTCATGTAATTCTTGCAGATAGGAATTTTCAGTATAAATTAAAAAGGAAAATGTGTTTCATTGCCATGAGAGAAGCAAATGATTTGCTAGAGTTGGAGCCAGGGAGCAGAGTGATGCCTGACTCAGCAGTTCTGGCTTGCACCAATTTGAGTGAATGCTTTGGTTTTGGAGCACAGATTGTATTTTTAAGCTTTTACTTGAGTTTTGTGTTTTAGCCTTGCTGCTTCGCCTAAGCACAAATAGGATCAATGCAGAACATTACACTGAAACTCTGGAGACCATCTGCAGTTTCAAAAGTGGTTGCTGCTTTGCTTACAATTGATTTGACCGATTAGAAGAAAAGCTGAGGGTCAGCACAGGGATCCTTTTCTGAAGAAAATGTGCTACTTCAGCTCCTATAGTGATCAGGGTAACAAACAGGAATTTGTTGCAAAACCCTGAATTTGGGATATTTGCAAAAGGGCTCTCTGTGGGTAAATGAGGCGTATCCATGGGCAGCTGAGGCAGCCTAGGGGGAAGTCAGAGTCTGAGCTGTATGTTGGTGTGTGGCTCTTGGAATCGCTTCCTGGGGGATGTGACACAGTGTCTAGTGCAGGTGTTGGAAGGGGGATGGAGAATCTGACAGGTGGCATCATTGTGGCTTTACCTGTGTAAAGCAAGTCCTAGTGCAAGGTAGTATGGGCAGGAGAGAGAGAGGAGCTGCTCAGGTGAGGAGGTTGTGACCAGCTGAGCAGGTGGTTAAACAGCAATTTTGGGGGGCAATTGATCATTTCAGCATGCAGGAAGATGTGATAAAGGGACTTGACTACATCTTCCCTCTCATGGTAGGAAAAAAATTCAAATAATCACAAGGCTGTTTTTGTCCATTTCCCATATGTCCAATTCATCTGAGGTCAGATTAAACTCTTACCTCCTTGGAACAGGAACTGCCTCGCTTCCTGTTGAACAGAGCTCCGAGCTGGATGTCAGCTCTAGTTAGACAGAAATGAGTAAGACTGCAATTAGGCTATTGGATAAAAGGCAGGGAAAAGTCTCTTAACTATGAAAAATCAACACTTGAGGAAGCAAACCACATGTGGAGAACAAATGCTGGAAAAAGCCCCAACTGCTTGGAACAAATGCCTTTATTACTTAAATAAACAGCAGAGTAATTTGTTGGAGTGACAGTGTGAGCTGTATCTGTAAGAAGAATTCATGGCTAACTTGAAAGCAGATGGATTTCTATGGCCCTGGGTGGGTTTTCTGGGAAATGCTAGTTATATACTGTGATACAGGAACAGAAATATCCTAGTAATGCTGCAGCAGGCTAAAAGGAACATGAATAGTATAAAACAAGTCCAAAATTTGCTGTGTCTGTGTCCCATATTTCAGGTAGATTAAAAGCAGTCATGGATTTTAAATTTTTTTCTAAACAGTACATGTCCTCTGGGAGAACAGACATCTTAAAGTTCATTCAGATCAAGACACAGATGCCAGTAGGCTCATGGCCAGGCAATGTTGTGCATTCTTAGGTTTGAAAAATACTTCCCTTCCTGCTTTGGAGACAAAACCCCCTTTTATTCCTTGTGTTTTGATTATTCCTTTTTTTTGAAGCAAGTAACAGTTACCTAAAAGAATTTGAATGGGCTTTTTTCTCTCCTTTCAAATAAAGGCACAGTATCA